GTATGGTAAGGTAAAATAAGGTGAGATAATATGAAGTAAGATAAGGTAAGATAAGGTGAGATAAGATGAGGTATGGTAAGGTAAGATAAGGTGAGATAAGACAAGGTAAGATATCCAATCAGAGGGATTTTCGTTGTCACTTTATTTTATTGTCACACGTTAACAAACATTCAAACTGTGCAAATGAATCAATGAATTCTGTCGAAGCTGAGAAACTCAGAGACCACAGAGGAGCTGCAACAGCTGAGCACCCCCTACTGGTTTCTAGTGGAATCACATCATTCCGCTCCTCTTAATATTTAGGGTTAGTTTCAGATCAGAGTTCAATTGTCAAAATGTTTCCACCTGTAGGTAAAGTCGTGAATGAACGCACCTGTTCTGGTTTCTATTGTTTCTATTGTTTTTATTTTTTCTACTGACAACAGGAAGAAAACTGAAGATTCATCAACACCCACTTCACAAGACGTCAATAATCAATAATCAATCCTCCTCTGAACAGACTCTTTAGTGGATTTACTGGTCTCTACTCATCTGATCTGGGTTTCAGAGCTCCTCTGTGGCAGTGGTGAATTTCCCAGCATGCCTTGTTAAACAGGTAATAAACAGAAAGTAAAGCTTGATGCATAGCATCAATAACGAGCTACAACAATGTCCTGGCTGCAGCAGCCATGTTGGCTCTGAGTGACGTCACCGCTGCGACGTCGTGGCAACACTGATCCATTCAAACACCGGATCAGCCAATCCCTCTGGTCTGTGTATAGTTGACTCTAATTGGCTGCTTCCTGTATTCCTGCCTTCTTCTGTTCTGTCTGTGTCACTGATCCTTCCCATCATCCTTTGTTCTTTGGACATGAACTAGTGAGTTAACCTCAGACCAACGCGGTCAGAAGGGTCGCAACATCAAGGGTCAGGTAGGTCAGACGTATCCACGGTAACCTAGAAATCAATCAATACAGAAATTAAGCTGTCTGTTAATCAATCAATTACAAGTAGTAGGAGGCATCTCCCCACCTTGATGAAGATGGTATCGTCTTTAATGTAGCTGCCTGTCTCCAGGACACTCTGAGACACAAACAGAGGACACCCGGAGGCGATGTTCATCTCTGCAGCAGGGCGTCGGAAGCTGCTGCTGTTTGGATCCGGTTTGAAGGCGTCGCCCAGGTGTTTCCTGGATGGACCCTGGTCCATCAGCATCAGAGTCACCTGACAGGAAGACAGACGACACAACAGTTGGATGTACAGGGCTGTCACCATCAATCAGTCAGACACGAGAAAGGAAGTGATATGTACTTTCTGTTTGAAGGGCCAGGGCAGCAGGGCATCGTACTCGCCCCTCATTACCACAAAGAACAGCGACAGGTGTGTCCCTTTGCCCATGCCGTCTCCATTCAGGTAGACTCGGGCACACATCTTATATCCAAAGTATCCTGTATAAAACGGCTGTGAATACAGCGACAGTGTCTTTGCTGCCACAGCTTCCTGTTTCCGTCTCTTGTAGTCGCGAATCTTCCAGATCAGAGTCCCGTTGTAGCTCGCCGTCTCCAACACCTGGAAACGCAGGTCCATGTCAGCCAATCGGATCTCGTGGACACTTAGCATGTCGTCGTGTCGATTAAGCTGAGTCTCCAGGGGTGCTGCAGAGAGGTGGATATTGATTATTGGGTTATTAATCAACAGTGTGTGTGTCCCCAGTACCCTGTACGTGTTCTGACCCAGAGTGTGCGTAGAGGGTCCGGTTCCACTGCGTCCTTGTTCCAGAGCAGTCAGCCTCACCCGAACACTCTCCAATGTTCCTCTCAGGTTCTCCACCTCCTCTCTGAGGAGACGCAGAGAACGAAGCTCCAGCTCCACCTCTAGCAGCTTCTCTGAGTGAGAACTCATGAGTTTCTGATGGAAGAGAAACCAATGAAGAACCAATCATACGGCTAATCTTAAAGCTCCAGCTCCAGTTTCTACTGTTCCGCCCACATTAAAAAAAATAAAACCGGTCACGGCACCGTCACTCTAACTCATCAGCCAGCACCCAGATTCTAAATCAATCATTTACCACATCTACAAAATCACTTCATCATATCAACCGTTGGGTTGTGACCTTTGACCTCCAGTCCACAGAACACATGGCATCAGTACCTGCATGGTGGAGAATTTCTGCTCCATTTGTCGGTTCTTGTCCCTCAGCTCGTCGTTCTGGTTCTCCAGGTCTGACAGACGACTGCTGAGAGCAGGAAGAACTTTATATCGCTCCAACAGCTCACCTTTGACCTCCTCCACCTGCATACACACACAAACATGAGCCACAGAATGCACATTCTGTGACCTGCGACTGGTTGCTATGGTTACCTTGTTCTCTAATGAGGAGCTCCTATTGGCCATCATCCTCAGGTGCTCAGCTGCACAGGTCGACTCATGTTGCCTCATTTCCTGGTTCAGACCCTGTAGCATAAACAAACAGTGTTTATACATTATTTTTAAAGTATTCTTACTGTACTTAATCATTCATATCATTACTTATCATTATATTAGAATGATTGTTTATTGATAGTTTATTGTCTTGCAATTTGAGAACATGTGTGACGAATAGTTACCTTGAAGGTGCAGCCATAACGGTGGAACTGGCAAATCACTTGAGCTTTAGGACAGTCATGTTGGTGACTGGACAGCTGAAATGCCAAAACAATCCATCAATCAATCAACCAACCAATCCTGCTTGCGATAGGTAAAACAGATGGAACAACTACATTAAACTGAGGTAATCCAGTTTTCTGGACAGTGGAGAATGAAGCGGGTCAGTACCTCACTCCGGGGCAGGGAGGAGGAGGAGCAGTGGTTTGGACAGGACACTGGGAACACTGGACACACCGTCTCTTTGTGTTTCTGAAAACAGACAAATTGAATCTGAAACCATTTCCTGATCACACAGAACACTTCAGGTTCTAGAACTGTGAGAACCTCCAGAGGTCAGCAGACTCCCCAGAACACTGCGACTATACTCTGATGTCTGCAACTAGTTCCTAGGAAAAATGGTGCAGATCTCTTGGAAGTGAAGACTACCTGCAGGTCAGTCAGAGGCATCTTGGTGGTGCAGAAGTCGCAGGTGGTCTCTCTGTGTTTACATTTCCAGCTCAGGTGGTCGGGAATCTCTTTCCTCATCATTCGCTCTTTGCATTTACCCAATGGACAGGGAACCTCAAAGAATGGACACACATTTAGGTGGTCCTACAGAGACAGACAGACAGGTGAGAAACACAGAGATATGTTGTAACTTTTATAGAAATCCTGGTCGTTGGAACAGAATCAGGATATTTGACCTGAACTGATGTATCCACACAGACTCTGTTACCACATAATATTATTATTAATAATAAGAATAATAAGAACTTGATTTATACAGCACCTTTCCAAAACAGGGTTTAAACTGAGCTTTACATGATAAAAACCACAGGAATCATAAAAGTGTAATCACAAGAACAGTATCAGTCGAGTAGAACAAGCAAAAACAAAATAAATAAATACATAAATAAAACATTAAGAGAGGATCAGGAAGGCTAGTCTATACAAGTGCATTTTAAGAATAGACTTAAACGAGGAGTACATTTCCCCATCCTGATCTCCTCAGGCAGGTTGTTCCAAGTCTGGAGGCATGAACGGCAAATGCTCTGTCACCTTTAATAAGCCTGGACTTTGGAACAACGAAGAGGGCAGCATTTTAGGATCTCAGGGTTCATGACAGTATATATGTAGTTAAAAGGTCAGTAATGTAGCTTGGAGCCAGACCATTCAGGGCTTATAAAGTGATAAGTACAATTTTAAAATCCACTCTAAATCTAATGGGGAGCCAGTGCAGAGATGCAAGAATGGGTGTGATATGTTCATGTTTTCTGGTATCTGTTTAAATCCAGGTGGCTGCATTTTGGATGAGCGAGAGAGATTTTGTGGGTGTTTAACCGTGTTGATGTAAATGCATGAATGACTGTTTCTAGGTTTTTGGCAGAGAGAATGTTTGTGAGTTTGGTATATGAGGAGTATTTTTGTCT